CGACGGCGCTGACGACTTCCTTGGTGTGAAGGGGCTAAAAGGTCAGCTGGGTCGGCAGGTGGCGGACGAGGTGAGTGCGTGCCGACGGATGGGAGCTGGAATGTTGCTATGGTGACGAGAGGATGCTATAAGCCCCGCCCCCTCCCTCTGTTTCCTCCAGGTGTGGCAGGCGGGGAAGCGGCAGGCGTCCAGAGCCTTCAACCTCTACGCCAACATCGACATCCTCAGGCCGTACTTTGACGTGGAGCCCGCCCAGGTGCGCTGCAGGTGAGAACTCCACTTCCTGCGTCCTGTCAGCTGCTTCCTGATCCCATGCTAAGCTAGCCTTTCCCCTCGCCAGGTTGCTGGAGTCCATGATACCCGTCCGCATGATCACCTTCCCCAGGTAAACCCCGCCCCTCTTGCAGTAAGCCCCGCCCTCTCCAGGTGAGCTCCAGGTGAGCTGCTGTGCTTCCTCTGCAGAAGGTGGCGGGGGAGCTGTACGGCCCTCTGATGCTGGTCTTCACCCTGGTGGCCATCTTGCTGCACGGCATGAAGACTTCTGGGACCGTCATTGTAAGCCCGCCCCCGGCCTGTCCTCACCTGTCCTCACCTGTCCTCACCTGTCCCTCCTTCCGTCACTAGGTGGAGGGCACCCTCATGGGGACGGCCATCGGGACGTGCTTCGGCTACTGGCTCGGCGTTTCCTGCTTCGTCTTCTTCTTGGCCTACCTGGTCAACGCTCAGATCACCTTGCTGCAAATGCTCTCCCTGCTGGTGGGTACTGCACCTCCCCTGCCCCCCAGCTCCCCCTGACATCACTTCCTGTCTCCTGTCGCCAGGGTTACGGCCTGTTCGGGCATTGCGTGGTCCTCCTGGTCACCTACAACATCCACTTCCACTTCCTGTTCTACGGCCTGTGGCTGCTGCTGGGCGGACTGTCCACGCTGCGCATGGTAGGACTGCGTTTCCCATCAACCCCTGCCAGCCCCGTTTCCCATCAGCCCCTGCTCCTCATTCCCTGTGTGTCCTGCAGGTGGCGGTGTTGCTCTCCCGGACGGTGGGCCAGACGCCGCGGCTGCTGCTCTGCGGTTCCCTGGCGCTGATGCACATGAGCTTCCTGCTGTACCTGCACTTCAGCTACCACCGCATTCTGGAAGGTCAGAATCGGGTCAGAACCAGAACCGGGTCCGAACACAGAGCTGATTGGACCACGTCTCGTCGTGTTCGACTTTAGTGAATGGGTTTCCTGGGTTTGTTGAGACGATGCGTCCCAGTGGAACGGATCGGTTCCGTTACACACCGAGACCTTATTATGAAAACAATTTATACTGGATGGTTGATGGAACCAGTTCACCCAGTTTAACCATCAGAGATAGAAAAACTCGCCATGTTTATAGCAGTGGAGACTCCATGTGTTGGTTTTAGTCATATCGCGGCCCGGTTCTGCAGCTCCGGATCCAAATGTTCTCTCGGGATTGGGCGGCTCATTTGGGTCAGAACCGACTCATGATCTGCTTGGTTCTGTTCCAGGTCTGCTAGACTCTCTGGAAGGACCCGACCCGGCGGCCATGGAGAGGGTGGCCCGAAACGTTCACCAGGTGACCCTGAACGCCACCGCCAGGAGTCTGTGAAGGGCCCAGTGAGAGCTCGGTCCGGATCCGGTCAGGGTCCGATCCGGTCCGGGCTCGGTCCGGATCCGGTCAGGGTCCGGTCCGGGCTCGGTCAGGGTTTCTTTCTCTCTGGTTCTGGTTCTCTGGGTTTCTCTCTCCTTCTGCTCTCCATACCTTCAGCGTCTTTATTATTGTTTTTATCTTTGTTGTTTATTACAGATGTTGCGTTTGAGTCAGTTAGAAACTCTGGGAAATCTCAGTTTGTCTAACCTTCACAGAAACTGAAACATGTCAGTGTGTTCAACATGTTAATAAAGATTTGATTCCCATCTAATGGTTCTGAACTGGCAACAGGTGCAGTTCTGTATTTCTGCCACCAGGCGGCACAGCCTACCATAACAAACAAACTGATGGTTCCCTCCTTACCCCAGCTAACCCCAACAGGTCAGACTGAGGCATAAAGGATCCAGCTGCAGGGAGTTGGAACACAGTCTGCTGCGATCCGTGCAGAATGTGCTCCAATTATAGAGGGGTCACACTCTTAAGCCTCCTTAGCAAGGTCTATTCAAGGGTCCTGGAGAGGAGGGTCCGTCGGATAGTCGTACCTCAGATTCAGGAAGAGCAGTGTGATTCTGGTTCTGGTCGTGGAACACTGGACCAGCTCTACAACCCCAGCAGAGTCCAGGAGGGTGTATGGGAGTTCCCCAACCGGTCTACATGTGTTTTGTGGACTTGGAGAAGGTGTTTGACCGTGTCCCTCAGGGTGTCCAGTGGGGGTTCTCCAGGAGTTTGGGGTACCGGGCCCTTTGATACAGGCTGTCAGGTCCCTGTACGACCGGTGTCAGAGTCTGGTCCGCATTGCCGGCAGTAAGTCGGGCTCGTTTCTGGTGAGAGTTGAACTCCGCCAGGACTGCCCTTTGTCACCGATTCTGTTCATTACTTTCATGGACAGAATCTCTAGGTGCAGTCAAGGCGTTGAGGGGATCCGATTTGGTGGCCTCAGGATCGCATCTCTGCTTTTTGCGGATGATGTGGTTCTGTTGGCTCCATCAGGTTGTAATCTGCAGCTCTCGCTGGAGCGGTTCGCAGCTGAGTGCGAAGCGGCCGGGATGATGATGATCAGTGCCTCCTAATCTGAGGCCGTGGTCTTGAGCCGGAAAAGGGTAGAGTGCCTTCTCCGGGTCGAGGGGGATGTCTTGCCCCGAATGGAGGAGTTCAAAAGATCCGAATGGATCTTGTTCACGAATGAGAGAAGGGAATGGGAGATCGACAGACGGATTGGAGTAGGGTCTACAGTGAAGCGATGAAACTGTACCGGTCCATCAAAGTGAAGAGCAAAGCTATCGATTTATTGGTCGATCTACGTTCCTACCTTCTTCTATGGTCATGAGCTTTGGGTCATGACCGACAGAACGAATACATGGGTCATTCGATCATGACCCATGATCGAATACAAGCGGCCGAAATGGTTTCCTCCGTTGGGTGGCTGGGCTCTCCCTTCAAGAGAGAAGCTCAGTCATCCGGGAGGGACTCAGAGTAGAGCCGCTGCTCCTTCACATCGAGAGGAGCCAGTTGAGGCTCAGGCATCTGGTCAGGATGCTTCCTGGACGCCTTCCTGGTGGAGATCCCACTGGGAGGAGACCCACGGGAAGACCCAGGACACTCTGGAGGGACTTTGTCTCCCGGCTGGCCTGGGAACATCTCAGGGTTCCCCCGAAGTGGCTGGAAGAGGGAAGTCTGGGCCTCCCTTCTTAAGCTGCAACCCCCGCGACCCGACCCCGGATAAGCGGCAGATGATGGATGGATGGAAGTAATATTGATGATAATAATGTAGCAACAGGAGGATTCATATGTTAGCATTAATATACATCAGTAGTTCGATAATTCAGTCAGGTATTCTGATGATGCAACACATCTCAGAGATTTCAAATATAACTGCAATAAAGATAAAAATGTTAAAAACTGTGGCTCATCTCAGCTGTCTGTTTATGAATAAACAAAATCTTAGGTTACATATTTGAGCTCTATTGTTTTGCAGTAACACTCCATAAGTTACCATAACTCTACGAAGTGCAATTTTCAGTTTGATCCGCCTTTCTGATCAGTCCCAGAATATTTCGGTCTGACTGCGTTCATGACTTGCTTTATCGTTTATTGTCATCGATATCAAAGCGATCTCAAACTTGCAAAAAATGTTTTTTTTTAATTATTTTTCAGGAAATAAAGTTTCTTGGGTCATTGGATGATATGTTATTATATCTGTATTCTGATGAATAAATGGTTTTGATATCATATGATCTGGTAAATTCAGCTTTTGGGGGAAAGAATTGATATTTTGCACAGAATTGTTGTAGTTTAACATGCAGCCATTAAGTGTCTAATATATTCTCCTGCAGCCAATCCATAAAATAAGGCTTTATTGTGACGTATGAATCTGTTATTGCATATGGGACAGCATTTTCCAGACAGTAACATTTTATGGAACTGATAGTTTAATAAGAAATTTATGTTTATTGAAAACAGCTACAAGTTTTAGACCAATTATTGTGTTAAATATATAATGAGAGAGACAATACCAACATAACTGAGAATTATTCATTATTAATCCAGTTGGCTACTTTCAGACGCCATCTTTGATTTCTTTGACCTATGACCTTTCCTGTGGCCTGTTCCTCCCAATAAAGTTGATTGGGTTAATAGTTTTAACGACAGCAGCAGGTTGACGATATCAATCTGGACAAATTTCCATGTTTGAGGAGTAAATTGGTCCTGAAGCCGTGAGTGAAGTTTGGATTTATCGTCTTTAATCTTGTTTTCAAAACTTCAGGTTCTGAAAAAGTTTGGTTGGATCCGTTATGGTTGGAAGCTGCTTGTTTGAACGCAGCAGTGACGTCATATTAACTGCTGACGCGTCTGATTTCTCAGTGTCTGCACCGATCTGATCATGGATTGTTCATATTCCTAAATTACAGAGAAAAGTGGAAATGAGATGAAATATTAATGTTAAATCAGCAGCAAAGCCTCCAGGGAGTTTCACACAAATATTAATGTTTGGATATAAACCAATAATTAAGTTCCTACAATTTACTCCAAAACATAAATGATCCAAAACTGAGAATAAGAATTGATTATTGATCAATAATGATCATTACTCTCTCCGCCATCTTGTCCTGGTGTTATCTGTCCCCTCACTATCAGCAGCAGGTCCTCTAAGCCCCGCCCCCGCAGGCTGAGCTCTCTCCCTTTAGCTCCTCCCACACAGGTGAGTTCAGGTACCTTCTGCTCTCCACAGTAAATGTCTCTGACTTGGTGAAACTTCATTTTCTTGCTGCGTCATTGAACTCGTGTTCAGTCCTGCAAGGTGTTTTTGGAGGTCAAAGGTCTTTCATTGTGGGAGGGACAATCAAAACAGAAAACTCGAGAGGCTGATCAATGATCAATACTGATGGATATCGATGGGTCCTCGGCTGCATCTATGTCGCCACGGGAACCGGAAATAACTCTTTAAGGGGAAGCGGAAACAATGAGCGCTCCGCGCGGGAACAGGCCGGAAGTGGAACCGCGGCTCAGACAGCCAACAGCAGAGGCGGTTCGGAACCGGCCCGGTCCAGCATGAAGATCTATTTCTGCGGCAGCATCCGGGGCGGCAGGTCGGACCAGCTGCTCTACCGGAGGATCGTGAACGCGCTGAGCAGATACGGGAGCGTGCTCACTGAACACGTGGCTTGCGCCGAGCTCAGCGACTCAGGTGGGACGCGCATGCGCATTTGAGTTTTTGATGGCCCGGACCCAGGCGGGTCGGAGCCTCTGATACTGAGGAAGAGGAAGGCGCTGGAGCCAAAACGGAGATTTAAAGCCAAAGAATGAGCAGATGCGTCCTGATTAATAGCAGCTATTCAACACTGTAAGAGTTAAGCAGTGCCTGGAAGCACCTATTGCTCCACGTTAGCACAACATTAGCAGAGCTAGCGCTCTGGGGAGCAAAGCTATGCTAGCATCACCCTTCTCCCCAAAATCAGCATTTAGCTGTTTCATGCATTAGCTGTGTTCAGCACACTGAATGGAGAAATTCAATGTAAGACAACATGCTAGTGACGGCGTTTAAGCTAACATTAGCATTTTGGCTCATGTTAGCTCACGCTCTAGTTTAAACCTACCGAATGGAGTCAGTCCTCATTGGTCAACATGCTATTGATAGGATTTTAGCTAAGTTTAGCATTGATGCTAAATGTTAGCATCAGAACGCTGGGTTCTACCCGACGGGCCCACTTTGGAACGTCTTCAGAAACGTTCTACTTCATCAATAAAGTCTTTGCCTTGGTGATGCAACTCCTAACATTTTGTCGTTTTCAGGAAGTCTGTAGATTTGCTCAACAATCACAAAATCCACCAACATTCCTGTGAAGAATGATCACAATAAGTCGTTGCCTTTTCCTGCCTGGTTCTGCTGAGCGCTCAGAAACCGCAGCCCTTCGTAGAAGAGAGGCCAGTCTGGGAGCAGATCCACCGTGAGGCTCCGGGCTACGGCGGCCCATTAGCCGCTGCTACGGCGGCCCATTAGCCGCTGTTACGGCGGCCCATTAGCCGCTGCTACGGCGGCCCATTAGCCGCTGCTACGGCGGCCCATTAGCCGCTGCTACGGCGGCCCATTAGCCGCTGCTACGGCGGCCCATTAGCCGCTGCTACGGCGGCCCATTAGCCGCTGCTACGGCGGCCCATTAGCCGCTGCTACGGCGGCCCATTAGCCGCTGCTACGGCGGCCCATTAGCCGCTGCTACGGCGGCCCATTAGCCGCTGCTACGGCTAGTGACGTCCCCCTGCGGTGCCTTTCCAGTTTCTAGACGTTTTGGCTTGAATAGGAGCGCCGACGTTGGGATGTGTCACAGATCTCCATCTGTCTGGATTCAAACCCAGAAACAGTTTGGTTTCTGTCAGTTTGGCTGGTAGCGTCTTTAAGCAGCTGCTTCACTGATCGTCTATCAGGGAGTAGATGTTTGGGTCGCTTGTTTCTGAGTGAACTGAATTGAAACACAGCGGCTTCATATTGTCAGGTGCAGCATCAGGCTGTGACCCACAGACATGTTAGAGTGCTGCAGGTCAAACGTTTCACCCAGCTGATTCCCTTGGATCTGACCTTGCTGTCGTAGCGTTGACCATTAATAGCAAAATATTACGTCCCCTTTTCAGATTCTCGGCTTGGCTGCAAATCCTGAGCATGGAGTCCTCTCAGTGACCTTCCAAGCAGCAGGTCACTGAGAGGCTCAGGATTTGCAAAATAATGTTCAAAGCTGTTAACAACCAGCTGCTGCTGCAGAGTTACTGTCTGCTAACGATGCAGGAACAGGAAGGAAACAAGGTGGCCATATTGGTGGGCATGTCTCAAGAAATCTGCTTTTATTTTGAAATCTTCTCTTTCAAGCTAGAGCTGCTCAGGATGTTTGGGACCAAATGGCCACAATGTTCATTAGTTCATGAATGAATTTGTTCAGGATTGATGAATTGCATTGCTGCTGCTGATTGGTTATTGGTCATGTGATGTCAATGACCAGCTGTGCTCTGACTGGTCAGGAGAGAGAGGTCCAGCAGGGGGCGACAGAGCCATCCATGACCGAGACCTGGCCTGGCTGCAGCAGTCTGACGGTAAGACCGGATCGTAGCGTCGGTCCCAGAGGGGTGGGTCGCTCACCTCTGACCCCTATGTGTCTCAGTGGTGGTTGCCGAGGTGACGCAGCCGTCCCTGGGCGTCGGCTACGAGTTGGGCCGGGCCTTGGACATGGAGGACAAGAAGGTGCTGTGTTTGTTCCGGCCGTCGTCAGGACGAGGTGAGGTCACTTCCTGTGCAGGTTGATGTGATTGGTCATCAGGGTGTTAACTTCCTGCCTCTGCAGCGCTGTCGGCCATGATCCGAGGGGCGGCGGATGGGCGGCGCTTCCTGGTGGTGGACTACAGTGAGGAACAGCTGGAGGGGGTTCTGGACCGGTTCTTCAGGTCCAGACTCAACGCCAAGCAGCAGGTCACTGAGACCAATTAGTCACCATGGTGTCGTCCACAGGGGAAGGCGGGTTTGTTTGAACTTATAATAATAGTAATAAAAACCACTAATGAGCCATCATCATCATCAGCAGCAGCAGCAGCAGCACAAAGGTCAGAGGTGACGGGGAGACATAGTTTGTCTAGCAGAAAGGTCGTGAACCCTGAACTTGTCCAGAATATCTTTCTTCCTTATTTTTGATATTTTAGTATCTGATGTTTGACTTATAACTGAGGAGCAGCAACAGTTTATTAAATGTCTCTTTGTCCAAAACGTTATTAAAAATGATCTTTCATCAAAGATTGATTTCCTGGTTGTTTGCAGAATATCTGAGACATGAACCGTGTCAGAGGAATCGTCTCCATGTGAAAGGAAGAGCTTCCTCTGCTCCACTGATCGTTGGAGCATTTCTGTTGGTGACAACATCTCCAATCAATAACCCTTATTGATTGATGATTAGCAGTGACACATTGGTAGAGGATAAATTCAATTTATTATAAGATTCCCTTCATCGTTATACATGTTTAACCAGTGATTCTGTTCCATCCAGATGTGAGTAAAAAGTGATTTATTCTGATAAAATATTCACATCATTGCAGATATTACAGTAATGACATCACAGTCTCTGTATTTCAGCAGATTAAAGTCGATTTAGAGTTTTAAAAAGTAGGCGGAATCTCCCTTTAGCGAATCAGAAGCTGACTTCGGTTTGAGAACCAGCAGGAGGTCCGGATGTTCCCAGAACCGGGTCCGACTGGACGACCGTGGACTAAATGTTGTTTATAGACTAAACGACCTGCCAAATAAAAGCAGCTTATTTCAACAACCGTGGAGGCGATGTGCTTTTATTTTGGCAGGTTTCTTGGTAGCTATGGTGACGGAACTGCAGCTGAATTTGTTTCTCTGATTGTTTATGAATAACTGATCATGTAACGGGTCAATATTGATGTTGACTGATGATACTGTGATAAATCATTGAGCAGGTGTTGTTTATCTGAGCTACCTGTCAATCCGTCCTACCTGACACTACGTCACATTCTGCTGACTCAGCAGATTTCTTCTCCTACCTGTGGAAGTTTCATTTCAGGTGTTTTATTTCATTGCATCAGAAACTTTATTTATTTTCTAGCAGCTTTCATGAAGCTGCTGGATTACTAGCAGAATTCTGGCTTTAGTTTGGTCCAGTCATCATCAGGACTGAATATGTTTTTGAGCTATACTTTAAAATACTTTAGTTTAATTACACTTTTTATTAATGATCAAACTTTGCTAAATAGATGTGGGACTGAAGTTGTCAAGGCCTGTAATATCAGTGCATATGAATCATATCCCATCATTTCAGTGACTTGTTGTGGCTGATGCTGATAACATATAATATATATATAATATAAAGTATTAATGCACAAAAAAGATCTGTGGTGATCTAGATTAGTGTTTAATTCCAATAAAAGCTGTTTCCATCTGATCCGGTTTTATTCTAACAAACGCCTCTGTGTCTCAGATATTAACAGCTAGATATTGTAGGAAAGGATCAGCTGCATCTGCAGCTTTTCATTTCAAACTTTGGTAGGATATTCAGATGAAGGAAGTGATCTGCTTCTGGTTTCATCATCACATCAATTGTTCAATGCTAAGCTAACCAGAACTGCTAAGCTTCCAGTCACTAAATGATCCAATTATTGAACATTAACAAGCCGCTGCAGTTTGTTTGTAAACATGGCGGTAGCAGCTTTAGACGGGTAGCACGGACAGACAGAGCCAGCTGTCGATCCGTGCTGCGGTAGGGAAATCTGACGGAGTAGCTCAGATCGTCAGAACAGGGTCAGTGAGAAAAGGCCGAAATCTCGCGAGAAACTTCGTGTTTTCAGCTGTAGTTCCCTCCTGTGCCGCTGGGGGCGGTAAATCCGACCCTCCGCTTTCACCGCAGCAGCAGAAGAAGGAGCCCCACCAAAACACCCGCTGAACCGCCCGTCCAGGTCTGCTCTGACTGGAACCGAACCGAGCCCAGCCGAACATGAACGAGTCTGAAGGAGTCCGTTTCCGGCGGCTGCAACGAGCTCACGTGATCACAGAGGAACTTCCGGAGCGGAGACAGAAAGAGGCAGGTGAGACCCGAACCTCACCTGGATACGCGGTTCGGCTCTGTGCTGCGGTTCGAGAGGTTCTGGATCACCGGGCTCTGCGGTTCCGGCTCTGTGGATCCTGGTCCAATCAGAGGGAAGCAGACCGGAACTGCCTCACATCCGGTTTAACCCGGATTATGTGATGGGTGTGGAGCGATTCAGAACCACCCAGAAGGTTCTGATGGACCTGATAGCTTCATGCTTGACCCGTTGGATCAGAGCAGTCTGGTCCGGTTCCGAACAAGTTCTCCAGGTTCTTGTTCTGAACCGTCGCCCCAGTAGAAGTTCTGGTTGCAGCTCCACAACCTTGAAGACAAAAATCGACCCATTAGAATGATTAGAAGCTGGTACCAGAACCAGGAGGAACCAGAGCCAGAAGAGAGGCATTCCTGGTTCTGGTCCTGGTTCTGGTTCTGGTCCTGTTTCTAGTTCAGGTCAGGGTCGATCCGTCTCCGGGTCGGTCTGGGTCGGTCCGGGTCCGGGTCGGGTCCGGGTCGATCCTGCAGCCCAGCACAGTTGGAGGTGGACCAGATGGTCCGGTGAACTGGTACCAGCCGACCTGGACAAAGTTGTCAGGGTTTCCCAGGCGACCTGCTCAGCCCAGCGGGGGGTCCGCCGTGTTTCTGTTGTAAAAATGTTAAATTGACAGGAAATGTAAACATATTACTGGGTAATTATGAATTAGAGGAAAACATGGAGAGTGAAACTATTGAAACCGTCACCGGTCTAAACAACAAATCCAATTTTCCATGAATATGAATTATTTGCACTTTTGTTCAATCCACATTAAGGCAGCGGCTCCTTGGGGCCCCCAGGGCTCTTTGGGGCCCCCATGGCTTCAGGGGCCCCCAGGGCTTCAGGGGCCCCCAGGGCTTCAGGGGCCCCCAGGGCTTCAGGGCCCCCAGGGCTTCAGGGGCCCCCAGGGCTTCAGGGCCCCCAGGGCTTCAGGGGCCCCCAGGGCTCTTTGGGGCCCCCATGGCTTCAGGGGCCCCCAGGGCTTCAGGGGCCAGAAATAATCATATTTTAACACAGAAGCAGAAATGAAACCTTCTTTTATTGAGATGATCAATGCTGCTAAATTTGATGTCACAGTTTTAACATAAACTAAAAGATTTTAAATTGTTTAACATTTAAATGTACTTTTAAGGAGCTGGAAAGTTTATTTTATAAAAGATCAAAGAACAATATTCATAGTTAGATTGTTTGTTACCATAGCAACAACCTGATGCTGAGTTTGTTGACAAATATAAATTAATAAACTGTAATTAGAACTGATAGTTTTCAGGTTGGCCAGTTAATCTACTTTAATCTCCCAGATTAAATCCAACAGAAGCTGCTAGAGGTTCTGATGTTTTAGCAGCAAGAGGGGCCAACAGTCAGGTTCTGCCCCAACAGTCAGGTTCTGCCCCACAGTCAGGCAGCTAGCCTGTTAGCTCAGCACATGGCAGCTAGCCTGTTAGCTCAGCACATGGCAGCTAGCCTGTTAGCTCAGCACATGGCAGCTAGCCTGTTAGCTCAACAAATGGCAGCTAGCTTGTTAGCTCAGCACATGGCAGCTAGTCTGTTAGCTCAGCAAATGGCAGCTAGCCTGTTAGCTCAGCACATTGCAGCTAGTCTGTTAGCTCAGCACATGGCAGCTAGCCTGTTAGCTCAGCACATGGCAGCTAGCCTGTTAGCTCAGCACATGGCAGCTAGCCTGTTAGCTCAACAAATGGCAGCTAGCTTGTTAGCTCAGCACATGGCAGCTAGTCTGTTAGCTCAGCACATGGCAGCTAGTCTGTTAGCTCAGCACATGGCAGCTAGCCTGTTAGCTCAGCACATGGCAGCTAGTCTGTTAGCTCAGCAAATGGCAGCTAGCCTGTTAGCTCAACAAATGGCAGCTAGCCTGTTAGCTCAGCACATGGCAGCTAGCCTGTTAGCTCAGCACATGGCAGCTAGCCTGTTAGCTCAACAAATGGCAGCTAGCTTGTTAGCTCAGCACATGCAGCTAGTCTGTTAGCTCAGCAAATGGCAGCTGGCCTGTTAGCTCAACAAATGGCAGCTAGCCTGTTAGCTCAACAAATTGCAGCTAGTCTGTAAGTTCAACAAATGGCTAGCCTGTTAGCTCAACAAATGGCAGCTAGCCTGTAAGCTCAGCACATGGCAGCTAGCCTGTTAGCTCAGCACATGGCAGCTAGACTGTTAGCTCAGCAAATGGCAGCTAGCCTGTTAGCTCAACAAATGGCAGCTAGCCTGTTAGCTCAGCACATGGCATCTAGCCTGTTAGCTCAGCAAATGGCAGCTAGCCTGTTAGCTCAACAAATGGCAGCTAGCTTGTTAGCTCAGCACATGGCAGCTAGTCTGTTAGCTCAGCAAATGGCAGCTGGCCTGTTAGCTCAACAAATGGCAGCTAGCCTGTTAGCTCAACAAATTGCAGCTAGCCTGTAAGTTCAACAAATGGCAGCTAGCCTGTTAGCTCAACAAATGGCAGCTAGCCTGTAAGCTCAGCACATGGCAGCTAGCCTGTTAGCTCAGCACATGGCAGCTAGACTGTTAGCTCAGCAAATGGCAGCTAGCCTGTTAGCTCAACAAATGGCAGCTAGCCTGTTAGCTCAACAAATGGCAGCTAGCTTGTTAGCTCAGCACATGGCATCTAGCCTGTTAGCTCAGCACATGGCAGCTAGCCTGTTAGCTCAGCACATGGCAGCTAGCCTGTTAGCTCAGCACATGGCAGCTAGTCTGTTAGCTCAGCAAATGGCAGCTGGCCTGTTAGCTCAGCAAATGGCAGCTGGCCTGTTAGCTCAGCAAATGGCAGCTAGCCTGTCAGCTCAGCACATGGCAGCTAGCCTGTTAGCTCAGCACATGGCAGCTAGCCTGTTAGCTCAGCACATGGCAGCTAGCCTGTTAGCTCAACAAATGGCAGCTAGCTTGTTAGCTCAGCACATGGCAGCTAGTCTGTTAGCTCAGCAAATGGCAGCTGGCCTGTTAGCTCAACAAATGGCAGCTAGCCTGTTAGCTCAACAAATTGCAGCTAGCCTGTAAGTTCAACAAATGGCAGCTAGCCTGTTAGCTCAACAAATGGCAGCTAGCCTGTAAGGGTTAGTGTGTGCCAACACTGTCCAGCTGAGCGATGTGATGAACTCTTATTAAAACTGTCAACATATTTCAAGCTCCAGGAATGACCCACAAAGATTTTCAGGCTCTCCAATCTGACGCTGAAGACGGGGATGTTCTTGCACTCTGATGTGCTGCTGCAGCGCTTTTATGCGCTGACATCAGAAATCGACCAGTTTTAAAAGAGAAGAGTGCTTTTGATTTTTTCATGAACTAAGTGACCCTGTAGCTGCAGAACTGGCATTTTAGTTGATCTGGATCCACTGAACAAGAATCTAGAAGGAAAGAACAGCTGCATGCGCATGAAAGCCCTGAGCGCTAAGCTCCACCTAGTGGAGACAGACTGAACGTCACCTCTAGTGTCTGTGGCCCTTTGCTTGTTTGTCTGTATTTGGCCCTCAATAAAAACATTTGGACCCTGAGACCCAGGAGTCTCAGAAATGTTGGACAACAGGTCCAACATTTCTGTCTGTCGAGTTTTAATAGAGTCACAGAAACTGAAACTGTTTACTGCAGTTTATGGGACGAGTTTCTCTGAGATCTGAGTTAACCCACCTGTCCTCCTCCTGTCCTCCACCTGTCCTCCTGTCCTCCACCTGTCCTCCTCCTGTCCTCCACCTGTCCTCCTGTCCTCCACCTGTCCTCCTCCTGTCCTCCACCTGTCCTCCTGTCCTCCACCTGTCCTCCTCTTGTCCTCCACCTGTCCTCCTCTTGTCCTCCACCTGTCCTCCTGTCCTCCTCTTGTCCTCCACCTGTCCTCCTCTTGTCCTCCACCTGTCCTCCTCTTGTCCTCCACCTGTCCTCCTCCTGTCCTCCTCTTGTCCTCCACATGTCGTCCTCCTGTCCTCCTCTTGTCCTCCACCTGTCGTCCTCCTGTCCTCTACCTGTCCTCCTCTTGTCCTCCACCTGTCCTCCTCTTGTCCTCCACCTGTCCTCCTTTTGTCCTCCTCCTGTCCCCCACCATCCACCTGTCCTCCACCTGATGTCCTCTTGTCCTCCTCCTGTCCCCCACATGTCCTCCACCTGACCTCCTGTCCTCCACCTGTCCTCCTCCTGTCCTCCTCTTGTCCTCCACCTGTCGTCCACCTGTCCTCCTCTTGTCCTCCACCTGTCCTCCTGTCCTCCTCTTGTCCTCCACCTGTCCTCCTCTTGTCCTCCACCTGTCCTCCTCTTGTCCTCCACCTGACCTCCTGTCCTCCACCTGTCCTCCTGTCCTCCTCTTGTCCTCCACCTGTCGTCCACCTGTCCTCCTCTTGTCCTCCACCTGTCCTCCTGTCCTCCTCTTGTCCTCCACCTGTCCTCCTCTTGTCCTCCACCTGTCCTCCTCTTGTCCTCCACCTGTCCTCCACATGTCGTCCTCCTGTCCTCCTCTTGTCCTCCACCTGTCGTCCTCCTGTCCTCTACCTGTCCTCCTCTTGTCCTCCACCTGTCCTCCACATGTCGTCCTCCTGTCCTCCTCTTGTCCTCCACCTGTCGTCCTCCTGTCCTCTACCTGTCCTCCTCTTGTCCTCCACCTGTCCTCCTCTTGTCCTCCACCTGTCCTCTTGTCCTCCTCCTGTCCCCCACCATCCACCTGTCCTCCACCTGATGTCCTCTTGTCCTCCTCCTGTCCCCCACATGTCCTCCACCTGTCCACCTGACCTCCTGTCCTCCACCTGACCTCCACCTGTCCTCCTGTCCTCCTCTTGACCTCCACCTGTCCTCCACCTGTCCTCCTCTTGTCCTCCACCTGTCCTCCTTTTGTCCTCCTCCTGTCCCCCACCATCCACCTGTCCTCCACCTGATGTCCTCTTGTCCTCCTCCTGTCCCCCACATGTCCTCCACCTGTCCACCTGACCTCCTGTCCTCCACCTGACCTCCACCTGTCCTCCTGTCCTCCTCTTGACCTCCACCTGTCCTCCACCTGTCCTCCTCTTGTCCTCCACCTGTCCTCCACCTGTCCTCCTCTTGTCCTCCACCTGTCCTCCTGTCCTCCTCTTGTCCTCCACCTGTCCTCCTGTCCTCCTCTTGTCCTCCACCTGTCCTCCTCTTGTCCTCCACCTGTCCTCCTCTTGTCCTCCACCTGTCCTCCACATGTCGTCCTCCTGTCCTCCTCTTGTCCTCCACCTGTCGTCCTCCTGTCCTCTACCTGTCCTCCTTGTCCTCCACCTGTCCTCCTTTTGTCCTCCTCCTGTCCCCCACCATCCACCTGTCCTCCACCTGATGTCCTCTTGTCCTCCTCCTGTCCCCCAAATGTCCTCCACCTGTCCTCCTCCTGTCCCCCACCATCCACCTGTCCTCCACCTGATGTCCTCTTGTCCTCCTCCTGTCCCCCACATGTCCTCCACCTGTCCACCTGACCTCCTGTCCTCCTCTTGACCTCCACCTGTCGTCCACCTGTCCTCCTCTTGTCCTCCACCTGTCCACCTGTCCTCCTGTCCTCCTCTTGACCTCCACCTGACCTCCACCTGTCCTCCACCTGACCTCCTCCTGTCCTCCTCTTGTCCTCCACCTGTCCTCCTGTCCAGCTCCTACAGTGGGAAGGTCTTCCGGGTCACTCTGCTGTCTCTGGGCGGTTTCTTGATTCTTCTTCTTCTCATCATCTTCTTCATCCTGGAGTCTCCCATTCATCCAGAGGCCTTCAGGTGAGTCAGTCTGGATCGGGTCAGAACCAGATCAAACCCTCTTTAACCCCCTTGTTTCCATGGCGGCCTGTGGCGCCCCCTGCTGGCTGCAGCTTGAAGGAGCCGCCCCAGATGAAGGGCTGCTGGGAGCCCAACCTGCGGCTCCGGGAGGCCCGGCGGCTCTACGAGGACCAGCTTCTGGGTCCAGAGTCCATCGTCAACATGGGAGGTCAGCTGCTTCACTTCTGGTTCCCGACCAGAACCAGAACCAGAACCAGAACCAGTCTGTTTTTCTCTCCGCAGATGTTTTCTTCACTGGAACAGCTGACGGCAAAATCCTCAAGCTGATTGGACAGAGAATCGTTACCTTGGCAACGCTCGGCAGGCCGCCGTGTGGTGAGAACTGGTTCTGACTGGTTCTGATTGGTTCTGATTGGTTCTGACTGGTTCTGACTGGTTCTGATTGGTTCTGACTGGTTCTGACTGGTTCTGACTGGTTCTGACTGGTTCTGATTGGTTCTGACTGGTTCTGACTGGTTCTGACTGGTTCTGATTGGTTCTGACTGGTTCTGACTGGTTCTGACTGGTTCTGACTGGTTCTGACTGGGTCTGACTGGTTCTGACTGGGTCTGACTGGTTCTGATTGGTTCTGACTGGTTCTGATTGGTTCTGATTGGTTCTGACTGGTTCTGACTGGTTCTGACTGGTTCTGATTGGTTCTGACTGGTTCTGATTGGTTCTGATTGGTTCTGACTGGTTCTGATTGGTTCTGACTGGTTCTGATTGGTTCTGACTGGTTCTGATTGGTTCTGATTGGTTCTGACTGGTTCTGATTGGTTCTGATTGGTTCTGACTGGTTCTGATTGGTTCTGATTGGTTCTGACTGGTTCTGACTGGTTCTGACTGGTTCTGATTGGTTCTGACTGGTTCTGCCTGGTTCTGACTGGTTCTGATTGGTTCTGACTGGTTCTGACTGGGTCTGACTGGTTCTGATTGGTTCTGACTGGTTCTGATTGGTTCTGATTGGTTCTGACTGGTTCTGACTGGTTCTGACTGGTTCTGATTGGTTCTGACTGGTTCTGACTGGTTCTGATTGGTTCTGACTGGTTCTGATTGGTTCTGACTGGTTCTGACTGGTTCTGATTGGTTCTGACTGGTTCTGATTGGTTCTGACTGGTTCTGATTGGTTCTGACTGGTTCTGACTGGTTCTGATTGGTTCTGACTGGTTCTGATTGGTTCTGACTGGTTCTGACTAGTTCTGATTGGTTCTGACTGGTTCTGATTGGTTCTGACTGGTTCTGACTGGTTCTGATTGGTTCTGACTGGTTCTGATTGGTTCTGACTGGTTCTGACTGGTTCTGATTGGTTCTGACTGGTTCTGACTGGTTCTGACTGGTTCTGACTGGTTCTGATTGGTTCTGACTGGTTCTAACTGGTTCTGACTGGTTCTGATTGGTTCTGACTGGTTCTGATTGGTTCTGACTGGTTCTGAATGGTTCTGACTGGTTCTGATTGGTTCTGACTGGTTCTGACTGGTTCTGACTGGTTCTGACTGGTTCTGACTGGTTCTGATTGGTTCTGACTGGTTCTGATTGGTTCTGACTGGTTCTGACTGGTTCTGACTGGTTCTGATTGGTTCTGACTGGGTCTGACTGGTTCTGATTGGTTCTGACTGGTTCTGACTGGTTCTGACTGGTTCTGATAGGTTCTGACTGGTTCTGACTGGGTCTGACTGGTTCTGACTGGTTCTGATAGGTTCTGACTGGTTCTGACTGGTTCTGATTGGTTCTGACTGGTTCTGATTGGTTCTGACTGGTTCTGATTGGTTCTGACTGGTTCTGACTGGGTCTGACTGGTTCTGACTGGTTCTGACTGGTTCTGACTGGTTCTGATTGGTTCTGACTGGTTCTGACTGGTTCTGACTGGTTCTGACTGGTTCTGATTGGTTCTGACTGGTTCTGACTGGTTCTGACTGGTTCTGATTGGTTCTGACTGGTTCTGATTGGTTCTGACTGGTTCTGACTGGTTCTGATTGGTTCTGACTGGTTCTGATTGGTTCTGACTGGTTCTGACTGGGTCTGACTGGTTCTGACTGGTTCTGATAGGTTCTGACTGGTTCTGACTGGTTCTGATTGGTTCTGATTGGTTCTGACTGGTTCTGATTGGTTCTGACTGGTTCTGACTGGTTCTGACTGGTTCTGATTGGTTCTGACTGGTTCTGATTGGTTCTGACTGGGTCTGATTGGTTCTGACTGGTTCTGACTGGTTCTGATTGGTTCTGACTGGTTCTGATTGGTTCTGACTGGTTCTGATTGGTTCTGACTGGGTCTGATTGGTTCTGACTGGGTCTGACTGGTTCTGATTGGTTCTGACTGGTTCTGACTGGTTCTGACTGGTTCTGATAGGTTCTGACTGGTTCTGACTGGGTCTGACTGGTTCTGACTGGTTCTGATAGGTTCTGATTGGTTCTGACTGGTTCTGATTGGTTCTGACTGGTTCTGATTGGTTCTGACTGGTTCTGACTGGTTCTGATTGGTTCTGACTGGTTCTGATTGGTTCTGACTGGGTCTGATTGGTTCTGACTGGTTCTGACTGGTTCTGATTGGTTCTGACTGGTTCTGATTGGTTCTGACTGGTCTGATTGGTTCTGACTGGGTCTGACTGGTTCTGATTGGTTCTGACTGGTTCTGACTGGTTCTGATAGGTTCTGACTGGTTCTGACTGGTTCTGATAGGTTCTGACTGGTTCTGATTGGTTCTGACTGGTTCTGACTGGTTCTGATTGGTTCTGACTGGTTCTGACTGGTTCTGACTGGTTCTGACTGGGTCTGACTGGTTCTGACTGGTTCTGATAGGTTCTGACTGGTTCTGACTGGTTCTGATTGGTTCTGACTGGTTCTGATTGGTTCTGACTGGTTCTGACTGGTTCTGACTGGTTCTGACTGGTTCTGATTGGTTCTGACTGGTTCTGATTGGTTCTGACTGGGTCTGACTGGGTCTGACTGGTTCTGATAGGTTCTGACTGGTTCTGAAAGGTTCTGACTGGTTCTGACTGGTTCTGACTGGTTCTGATTGGTTCTGACTGGTTCTGTCTGGTTCTGACTGGTTCTGATTGGTTCTGATTGGTTCTGACTGGTTCTGACTGGTTCTGACTGGTTCTGATTGGTTCTGACTGGTTCTGATTGGTTCTGACTGGTTCTGATTGGTTCTGAAAGGTTCTGACTGGTTCTGACTGGTTCTGACTGGTTCTGACTGGTTCTGATTGGTTCTGACTGGTTCTGACTGGTTCTGATAAGTTCTGACTGGTTCTGACTGGTTCTGATTGGTTCTGATAGGTTCTGACTAGTTCTGACTGGTTCTGACTGGGTCTGACTGGTTCTGATAGGTTCTGACTGGTTCTGAAAGGTTCTGACTGGTTCTGACTGGTTCTGACTGGTTCTGATTGGTTCTGAAAGGTTCTGACTGGTTCTGACTGGTTCTGACTGGTTCTGATTGGTTCTGACTGGTTCTGACTGGTTCTGACTGGTTCTGATTGGTTCTGACTGGTTCTGACTGGTTCTGACTGGTTCTGACTGGTTCTGATTGGTTCTGACTGGTTCTGACTGGGTCTGACTGGTTCTGATTGGTTCTGACTGGTTCTAACTGGTTCTGACTGGTTCTGATTGGTTCTGACTGGTTCTGATTGGTTCTGACTGGTTCTGACTGGTTCTGATTGGTTCTGACTGGTTCTGACTGGTTCTGACTGGTTCTGATTGGTTCTGACTGGGTCTGACTGGTTCTGATTGGTTCTGACTGGTTCTGACTGGTTCTGACTGGTTCTGATTGGTTCTGACTGGTTCTGACTGGGTCTGACTGGTTCTGACTGGTTCTGATTGGTTCTGATTGGTTCTGACTGGTTCTGATTGGTTCTGATTGGTTCTGACTGGTTCTGACTGGTTCTGACTGGTTCTGATTGGTTCTGATTGGTTCTGATTGGTTCTGACTGGTTCTGATTGGTTCTGACTGGTTCTGATTGGTTCTGACTGGTTCTGATTGGTTCTGATTGGTTCTGACTGGTTCTGATTGGTTCTGATTGGTTCTGACTGGTTCTGATTGGTTCTGATTGGTTCTGACTGGTTCTGACTGGTTCTGACTGGTTCTGATTGGTTCTGACTGGTTCTGACTGGTTCTGACTGGTTCTGACTGGTTCTGATTGGTTCTGACTGGTTCTGACTGGTTCTGATTGGTTCTGACTGGTTCTGACTGGTTCTGACTGGTTCTGACTGGGTCTGACTGGTTCTGACTGGTTCTGATAGGTTCTGACTGGTTCTGACTGGTTCTGACTGGTTCTGACTGGGTCTGACTGGTTCTGACTGGTTCTGATTGGTTCTGACTGGTTCTGATTGGTTCTGACTGGTTCTGACTGGTTCTGACTGGTTCTGATTGGTTCTGACTGGTTCTGATTGGTTCTGACTGGGTCTGACTGGGTCTGATTGGTTCTGACTGGTTCTGACTGGTTCTGACTGGTTCTGACTGGTTCTGATTGGTTCTGACTGGTTCTGACTGGTTCTGATTGGTTCTGACTGGTTCTGACTGGTTCTGACTGGTTCTGACTGGGTCTGACTGGTTCTGACTGGTTCTGACTGGTTCTGACTGGTTCTGATTGGTTCTGACTGGTTCTGACTGGTTCTGACTGGTTCTGACTGGTTCTGATTGGTTTGACTGGTTCTGATTGGTTCTGACTGGTTCTGACTGGTTCTGACTGGTTCTGACTGGTTCTGATTGGTTCTGACTGGTTCTGATTGGTTCTGACTGGTTCTGACTGGTTCTGATTGGTTCTGACTGGTTCTGACTGGTTCTGACTGGTTCTGACTGGGTCTGACTGGTTCTGACTGGTTCTGATTGGTTCTGACTGGTTCTGACTGGTTCTGACTGGTTCTGATTGGTTCTGACTGGTTCTGACTGGTTCTGATTGGTTCTGACTGGTTCTGACTGGTTCTGACTGGTTCTGATTGGTTCTGACTGGTTCTGACTGGTTCTGACTGGTTCTGACTGGTTCTGATTGGTTCTGACTGGTTCTGACTGGTTCTGATTGGTTCTGACTGGTTCTGACTGGTTCTGACTGGTTCTGACTGGTTCTGATTGGTTCTGACTGGATCTGATTGGTTCTGACTGGTTCTGACTGGTTCTGATTGGTTCTGACTGGTTCTGACTGGTTCTGACTGGTTCTGACTGGGTCTGACTGGTTCTGACTGGTTCTGATTGGTTCTGACTGGTTCTGACTGGTTCTGACTGGTTCTGACTGGTTCTGATTGGTTCTGACTGGTTCTGACTGGTTCTGATTGGTTCTGACTGGTTCTGACTGGTTCTGACTGGTTCTGACTGGGTCTGACTGGTTCTGACTGGTTCTGACTGGTTCTGACTGGTTCTGATTGGTTCTGACTGGTTCTGACTGGTTCTGACTGGTTCTGACTGGTTCTGATTGGTTCTGACTGGTTCTGATTGGTTCTGATAAGTTCTGACTGGTTCTGACTGGTTCTGATTGGTTCTGATAGGTTCTGACTGGTTCTGACTGGTTCTGACTGGGTCTGACTGGTTCTGATAGGTTCTGACTGGTTCTGAAAGGTTCTGACTGGTTCTGAATGGTTCTGACTGGTTCTGATTGGTTCTGAAAGGTTCTGACTGGTTCTGACTGGTTCTGACTGGTTCTGACTGGTTCTGATTGGTTCTGACTGGTTCTGACTGGTTCTGACTGGTTCTGATTGGTTCTGACTGGTTCTGACTGGTTCTGACTGGTTCTGATTGGTTCTGACTGGTTCTGACTGGGTCTGACTGGTTCTGATTGGTTCTGACTGGTTCTGATTGGTTCTGACAGGTTCTGACTGGTTCTGATTGGTTCTGACTGGTTCTGATAGGTTCTGACTGGTTCTGATAGGTTCTGACTAGTTCTGACTGGTTCTGACTGGGTCTGACTGGTTCTGATAGGTTCTGACTGGTTCTGAAAGGTTCTGACTGGTTCTGACTGGTTCTGACTGGTTCTGATTGGTTCTGAAAGGTTCTGACTGGTTCTGACTGGTTCTGACTGGTTCTGATTGGTTCTGACTGGTTCTGACTGGTTCTGACTGGTTCTGATTGGTTCTGACTGGTTCTGATTGGTTCTGACAGGTTCTGACTGGTTCTGACTGGTTCTGATAGGTTCTGACTGGGTCTGACTGGTTCTGACTGGTTCTGACAGGTTCTGACTGGGTCTGACTGGTTCTGACTGGTTCTGATTGGTTCTGATAGGTTCTGACTGGTTCTGACTGGTTCTGACTGGTTCTGACTGGGTCTGACTGGTTCTGATTGGTTCTGACTGGTTCTGATTGGTTCTGACAGGTTCTGACAGGTTCTGACTGGTTCTGACTGGTTCTGATAGGTTCTGACTGGGTCTGACTGGGTCTGACTGGGTCTGACTGGTTCTGACTGGTTCTGACAGGTTCTGACTGGGTCTGACTGGTTCTGACTGGTTCTGATTGGTTCTGATAGGTTCTGACTGGTTCTGACTGGTTCTGATTGGTTCTGACTGACTCCCCATAGGACTGATGTGAAGAGAACTGCTGAACCATGTTGAACTAGGCTAACGGGTTAGCCTGAATGTGTATGCTGAACAATGCTAGATTTAGCATGTTGGACCAGGCCAAACGACCACCAGCTGTTAGCCTCAGTTAGCGCGATGAACCAGGCTAGTTGTTAGCCTCAATTAGCATATTGAACAAAGCTAATAGGTTGCTAGCTGTTAGCCTGGTTCAGTATGAACTGAATAAACCTGATAGGCTAAAAGTGCCAAAATAAATTCGATTGGCTGAGCCTGGCTCCACCTCCAGACTGACCCTCTGACCCTCTGCAGGCGCCAGGGAGGACGAGCCCACCTGGGGGCCCCTGGGCATCAGGGCGGGGCCTAACGGGACGCTGTTCGTAGCCGACGCCTACCTAGGTGTGTTCGAGGTCGACCCTGCCACAGGTGAGCTGTGATGGACCTTCCCCTCCTCTCGCCTCCAGGTCATGCTGACGACGCGTCTCCCTGCAGGTGCGGCGACCCGGCTGGTGGCGGGGGGGCAAATGGTCGGGGGCAGGAAGCTGTCGTTCATCAATGACGTGGCGGTGACCCAGGACGGCAGGAAGCTGTACTTCACCGATTCCAGCAGCAGGTGGCAGCGCCGGGACTACCTGCACCTCATCATGGAGGCCACGGCGGACGGACGGTACGGCCCGCCGCCTGGGTCAAAGGTCAGCTGCTGGGACCCTTCAGAATAAAAGCCTGTCCTCCTATCCGCCTCAGAGTGCTGGAGTACGACACGGAGACGCGAGAACTGACAGTCGTCATGGAGAACCTGCGCTTCCCCAACGGCATCCAGCTGCTGCCGGACCAGGAGTCGGTTCTGGTGGCCGAGACCACCATGGCCCGGATCCGCAGGTGAGCCCGACGTTGACCCAGGACCACCCCGGTTCAGGGGAGGTGTCCTCCCTGACCGGATCTGTCTCCATCCAGGGTCCATGTGGCGGGCCTCAACAAGGGGGGCATGGACACGTTTGTGGACAACCTGCCCGGTTTCCCGGACAACATCCGGCCCAGCTCTTCCGGAGGGTACTGGGTCTCCATGGCGGCGGTCCGGCCCAACCCCGGCTTCTCCATGTTGGACTTCCTGTCCCAGAGACCCTGGGTCAAAAAGCTCATCTTCAAGGTAAATGGGTCAGTTTTATGTGACCTCTGACCTACTGGAGGAGAAACTAATGAGAATGCCTGAGACGGCCCAGTCAAAGGCTGCGTTCACCCAGCAGATCTTGATTGTGCTGCTGCTTAAACCCGACTGCAACGTGAGGTCTGTGTGACCGAAGAGGAACGTAAATTTACGGCAGTAAAGATGGCCGCCATATTGCTCTGTTTGGGGCAGTAAAGATGGCCGCCGTATTGCTCTGTTTGGGGCAGTAAAGATGGCCGCCGTATTGCTCTGTTTGGGGCAGTAAAGATGGCCGCCGTATTGCTCTGTTTGGGGCAGTAAAGATGGCCGCCGTATTGCTCTGTTTGGGGCAGTAAAGATGGCCGCCGTAGCGCTCTAGGTAAACGCAGCCTCAGGCAGCAGCAGTTCTCCAGGTCAAAGGTCATGTTGTCTTCGATGTCTCGGTTTCCACCCTGCAGCTGTTCAGCCAGGACGTCCTCATGAAGGCCGTCCCTCGCTACAGCCTGGTGGCCGAGATCCAAGATGGCGGCGTCTGTAGGCGGAGCTTCCACGACCCCAACGGCCTGGTGGCCGCATACGTCAGCGAGGCCCACGAGCATCATGGGAAACTCTACATCGGATCCTTCCGCTCGCCATACATCGCCGTGCTGGACCTGCAGGGACTGTAGAACTGGGTCCGGCTTCACACCCTGCTGGTTCTGATGCCCGGTCCTTTTGGATCAGAACTTGGGGACTTTAATAGCTGCTGTTGGCAGCTGAGGGTCCAGTTGGGCCCGGTTCTGGTTCTGTTGCTCCATCATTTCATGTCAGACTGAATTTTCCTGTGTTGCTGCTCTGCTGTTGCACCGGCCCGGTTCTGGTCCCATACCCGGACCCGGTTCCGTACCCTGACCCGGTTCTGGTACCATACCCGGACCCGGTTCCGTACCTTGACCCGGTTCTGGTACCATACCCGGACCCGGTTCTGGTCCCATACCCGGACCCGGTTTCGTACCCGGACCCGGTTCCGTACCTTGACCCGGTTCTGGTTCCATACCCGGACCCGGTTCCGAGCCCTGTTTCCAGACCAGTCCTAGTTCTAAAAATTGCAAAAAAGTGAAATCGGGCGAGCTCATTGTGATTTGTGAACTTGGTTCTGGTTCGGCCCGGTTCCGTCTAAACCGACCTGTAGACCTACTGAACTCTGGAGGTTCTGTAGAATAGAAGAACCGGGTCTGGATCTGCTGTAACTCTTTATTCACTCATCATTTAAACAGAACCGGATCCTGATCAGAACCGGTCCGGATCAGAACCGGTTCCTGTTGGTGCGATCTGCACTGCAGCTCCAGGGTTTCCCGCCCAGGCTTCCAGGGGGTCAGGCACAGATCCATGTGACACCGGAAGGTCTGGACAGAAACGGGTCGGTCAGAACCTCCAGAACCATCGGGTCCTCCTGCGACTCAGATCCAGACTCACCTGGGCCAACCGGCCCGGAGGCTGGAGGTGGCACCGGTCCAGGTCCGAGGTCCGGTTCCGTTTGGGACAAACCGTCCTGGAGATCTGGAAGTCCACGATGTACCGGATCCCTCTGACCACCTGGAACACAGAGCGGGTCCGTTAGGTTCTGCTCCGATCTGGAACCGGGCCCGTGTCCAGACCAGAACTACATGAACAGGTCTGCTTCAGGTTCTAGGCTCAGCAGAACCTGGTTCTGGTTCTCACACTTCAGACTGAATCTGAACGTGCTTTTATTTTGAAAGGAGGTATTGTTTCTTGTGAGAAAGGTTCTGGTTCTATTCTGGTTCCCTCCTCTGATTGGCTGATTGGTCCGTCCAATCACCACAGACCTGAGCTTCTAATAAACTACTGTTGGTTTAACTGTCCCGCCTCCGTCTGTTCTGGTTCTGATCTGGTTCCTCCTGACCGGGTCGACCAATCAGATCAATTTGATCTGTGCAGCACATTTCAGCAGCAAAGCCTTCGAAGAGCTTTACATCCTAAAAACACAAAGTCATGAATCAACAATGTAACGTGACATTAAGTCAAGAGCTGTCGATAAATTGATTATTGATTATTGATTACGTTTCAGTCTGGACTCTGGATCTCAGGGTTTCGGTTGTTTTACAGTTTCTGGAAGTTTGTTCCAGATCTGTGGTGCATAGAAGCTGAACGCTGCTTCTCCTCATTTGGTTCTGATGCAGAACCAGAACCTGAGCAGATCTTTCATGTGTTGCTCAGTGATTGTTTAGAGTCTCTGAGCTGCAGGGAACCAATGAGGGACTGCAGAACCAACCGGGTCCAGATCCTCCTGGTTCTGGTTCTGGTCCAGCAGCAGCTGCAGGAATCGGTGCCACTGAGACATCAGACCTCTAGACGCTCTGCAGGGGACAGAAGGCCGACTTTGTGACTGTCTTTATGTGGCGCTGATGGGTCAGAGGTCAGAGGTCATCCGCCCACTTGTTCCCACCCAGTAGATTCTCCTCTGATGGTTCTGGAGAAACTGGACTTCCAGGTTTTTTGAACCAATTGGATCCAGACACCAGAATCCGGACCTGCTGACGGTTCTGACCCGCCTCCCATATCACCATGGCAACAACTGTCTCCAGGTAGGCGGTACCTGTCGCTGCGCTCTGATGACGGCCGACGGTTTGAACAGGAAGGCGTCGTTTGATTGGCTGTTGAAGGAGTGGGCGGCGCCGAGGACGGCCTGCTGGACAGCGGCGGCGTTTTTGCTGATGTCACACGGAGAGCCTGGCATGGAGCAGCCAAGATGGCTGCCGGCTGCTGGACCCGGACCTGGAAGAGAAGAACCTTCAGAACCAACAGAACCCAGGCCAGCCCGCCAATCTGTTTTGGACCTGTTCCTGGTTCTCCTGATGGCTGTGCCTTTCAGAACCACAGAGGACGGACCCAAACAGAACCCAGTGCCGAGTCATTTCTGCCCGACCAGAACCAGCCTGCAGTCTTACCCAGAGTGGCGAGCAGCAGCAGCAGCATCTTCGCCTCCATCTCGGTTCACTTCCTGTCACCACAGACCAGCTACTTCCTGTTTGCCTGAGCTTTGTTCACGCCTGACATCACTTCCTGTGTCTGAAGCGCTCCCTGTACGGCAAGCCGTTTCAACATAAATTCAGTTTTACTGCCCTTACATTCCAGATATCAAATTGTTTTATGACGAGACGTTTTAGCAATTATCTTGAATTATTCAACTTTTCTATGCAAGATATCTTAAACTGATATCTTGAATTAGCATTCTGTCTAGTCAAAGCGTCAATTTGAAAGTTTAATAAAACAATGAAAAACAGAAAAAACAAAACAAGATGTTTGAAAATTCACAACTTTCATGTTGAAAATGGGTTGACAACAGCAGGTTTAGCTTTTCAAAGCTGCTTTTAAGGGCATTCGTTTCATCAGAAATGAATAAACAGGATTTTTTAGCAGATATCATTAGCAGTCTTATAGTTTTCCGCATTTCCAACATTGCCGAGCTCTTTCTAATTTCTGCCATTTATGGACAATTTTGTGCAGGAAACATCAAATTCTTCAGGCAACTGTTTGGGCAGCACAAAGGGGCTTCCACCTCATTCTTAATTCACATATCTAAAATTGTCATTTTGATTGGTGATAATTCAGTTCAAGATATCTTAAATCATAATTCCGGATACGAGTCTCATCAAATTACAGATCCAGTGACGTCATCTGAGAAATCTTGAAAGGAATTTTGACTCATCAAGATGTAAACGCAGATATCTTGAATTATTATTCCAGATAGTCAAAATGCATTTTCAGATATCTGGAATATAATTACAGATAGTCAGATGAAACTGAATTTATGTTAAAACAGCTTGCCATAAGTCCTGAGACCCCGCCTCTTTAGCTGGGGCTCCTCCAGGCTGGAAATCCTGACCCTTGACCCCTGACCCTACAATAGCTACGTTCATTTCATATAGAAACATTTTCTCACAAAGTGAGACCAAAGTTCATCAGCTATCTGTGTTTAATTTCAAACTGGTTCCTGAACCCACAGAGCTCTGCTGACCTCTGACCCCTGACCCAGGACATCAAACAGCAGATTCTAAAATGAAAACATGTTTCATTTAATATCTTCAAACTCTGATAAAACAGATATGAGCAGTTTCAATACCGAAACATGTGATACACTCGATATTTTCTGATTAGTTTTAATTTGGTTTATAATGTACAAAAACATTTTCAGATCAATATATGATTTATACACTTTTAGGAATTTGCTCAAGTATAAAAACTAGTCATTTCTCATTTTGTGATCATTATATGTGATTGAGTTATGAATTGATTAAATCATGAATATATATAAATATAAATTGATTTCTGGTTTTGTCCTTATGTTAAGCATAACTGCTCAACTTCCACTTCAGTCACTCAATTAATGTTCTCCAATATATTTATGATTAACAATCTGCTAGTTTCTGTTAGTAAACATGATGGTAGCAGTTTTAGACGGGTAGCACCGACAGACAGACCTGGCTATCTATCGGTGCTACGGTAGGAAAATCTGACGGGGTACTTCGGATCATCAGAACCCAGAAATGTGTCGTGTTGCAGGAACGCGCATCGCACCTGTTCTCTGGTGTAACCTGGTTTTATTTCTCTTTTGTTATAATTACACAAAAGGTCTTTTTATTCTTTGCTATTTGTATTCTTTCTTCTTTGACTGAAACGCCTCTAAAATCTCTGTCATTGTTTTAACTTTTATTTCTCCTTGTGTGGTATTGTCTTTAAATTGTCACGTTGTCCTGCAGGGTTAGGGTGTGTGCTGTTTATTTTGCATCTAAATACATTCAGTGTATTTCTAGATTTATGAAGATTATTTCTGTGATGTACCATGTTTTGTGTGCAGCTGCAGCCTGTAACTCAACATGTTTTGTTAAACCGGGTCACATAAAACCAGCACAATGCAGAGGATCCTGCCATAAGTTTCATATCCAAAAGACTAATAATCTGAAATATGCCCCTCCCTCCTGCTAACTTGGAGAAATAAAGCGATAAAAATGGGAAAACATTTTCTACATGACTGCACTATAAGCTTCATTTCAATGAACAGGCAGCGACTCCCGCGACAAAGCGCGTTTCCGGCACAACACTGCAGCTTCCGCTTCCTGCCGGCTGGCGGCGCTCGAGCCACTGCCAGCAGGCCTGCTGGTAAACAATCGTAGAAGAAGAAGAGCAGGAGCACAAGAAGAGGAAGAGGAGGACTGAGTCGGAGCAGAGGAAGAAGAAGAGCGGAGTTATTGATCACTGATCGATCCGAGAGGTGAGGAGACCGGTTCTGATCCAGAATGATTCCCCTCAGGTTCCGCTTCTGCTTTCGGGTTTTAGAGCTCCGTTAGCTCCAACTACTTCCGGTTCTGTCCAGACTGAGAACCAGAACCAGTGGGCCGAGCTCAGACCAGGCTTTACAGCAGAACCCTACCAGATGGAAGCCGGTTCGGTTCTGCTCGAACCGGGTTTTGGGTCGGTTTCGCTTTGTCAGGCTGCCTCCACTTCCGGGTTATTATGGAACGTTACCGTCATGTAAAGGGTTAGGGTTAAGGTCAGAGTTTAGAGGGAACTTTGACTTGAAAGGTTCTTAACCGGATCATGATCCATTTCCTCTCGGTTCCGAGTTCAGCTCAGTTGGGTTTTACGGTTCTGTTTTAAAGGAACAGTACGCCCTAATGACCAGGCTCGGGTCAAGGTTCTGGAGCTTCCTGCTTTGACCCGAATTGAACCCGGGACCGAAACCTGTCAGCTGGTTCAGAGTGGAGCTTTAAAGGTACTTTCTCTGGTCCAGAACCCGACCAGAACCAGTTGGTCGGGTTAGGTTGAGTGAATGATGTGAGCTCAGAGGAAAACATAATAATCATCATATGGGCACTTCCTGTTTCATGAGGAAACAGGAAGTGGAAGTCATCAGCTCCAAAGGCCTGGAGCTGACAACCTCCACGGATTCATTTGGAAATTCTAGATTTTGTAGCAAAGGTTTGTTAAATTTTCAATAATCTGTCCTATGATTGTCCATCACTTTGTCCACAAACGTCCAAACTAATCAGACAAAAGTCTGAGACTCTAGAGACACCAAATGTTTATCTGTCCTTGTGGGACTGGGCCGGTTTACAAGTCGTTAATAAAACAAATCCTAAATATTAATATTTACTGTGTCTGATCAATAACTTGTAGAATGATCCATTTACCACAGTGTGATGCTTGGAGAAACAGCGCCCCCTGCTGACCTGTTACTGATCCTGGACAAAATAAAATCTGCTCCCTTATATGGCAGAAACAAAGAGACCCTTCCTTTTCATTCCTAATAATCAATAAGAAATTATTATTAAATAAAATAATAAATCTGAAGCTGCAGAGACAGAGTTTGCCTCCATTAGGAAGCAAACCAATGATTAGGTTATAACTGTGTGTTATTACCGCTCTGCACGTTGTCATTGATGTTGCTGATGAGATCGGGTCGCTGCCGGTTCCTCTCAGATTGGTTCCCTTCCCTGCGCTGAATCACACGGTTCTGGATGGAGCCTCCGGTTTCATCCATTTTTAATCCCAGAACCTGAAGCTCCGTCCAGCAGAGAGTCCTGATCCTCTTTATGGCAGAACTCCAGAGATTATTTCCATTTCTCTCGTTGATCTTTCTAGTTGCAGCCAGATGATGGCGTCTCTAAGCTCACGTTTTTCACCTCTTGCCTCTTTAGCTCGGCGTGTTCAGGAAGAGATGGGCAGGTCAGGGTCATTCAGCTCCCAGGTTTCCTTCTATCTGTGCAGTTTCCCTCCTGCACAGATAGGAGGAGGGAAACTAGCTAGCCGTAGCTTCTAGCTACATGCTAGAAGCTAGTTTTAGTTTTTTGTTGCTTGAAATCAAACGATGACAATGAAGGTCCCTGTCTGAAGTCACCAGAACAATAACCAACATGAAGATTGCACTTTTTAGAGATTTCCTTTGGCTCCGAGTTCAGATCCAACATGGCTACATGCTAGAAGCTACGGCTAGCCTCGCCACGCTAATAGCTGTATCCGAGTCGTTCTTCAAATCTCTATTGGAGATAAAATGTCTTTTAAATGTAGCTCAGCATTTAAAGATCGACTGCACCAGCCGCCATCTTGCAAGTCCAAGAAGAGTCATATTTGATTTGTTGTCTAAGAAAAGATGGGATAAGACCAGTCCGGGTTCTGGTTCTGTACTGGTGAAGCTTTGGATCTCCCAGTTCACCAGTTTGTGCCATGTGTCTCCAGATGTACTACTATCGCTATGACAACCCTGAGGTCAGCTGCTGCTACAAGTACCTGATGTTCAGCTACAACATCATCTTCTGGGTGAGTCACCTGACCCACTGGACCCGCCAGAACCAGAACCTCCGGTTCCTGTTGCCACGCAGAAACCAGGAAGTGATGTCAGCGACATGCTGAAGCTTCTTGGCAGCAGGAAACGGTCTGGTTCTGGTTCAGTCAGTACTCTCAGGTCCAGTTCTCAGTGTGACTCCGGTTCTGGTTCTGTTGCAGCTGGCCGGAGCCGCCTTCATTGCCATCGGGTTCTGGGCGTGGAGCGAGAAGGTGAGGCGACCGGATCGCGGCACCGCGACCCGTCTGCAGTGGGCAGAACTGACCGTTTTGTTCTGTTTGCAGGGGGTTCTGTTGGACCTGACCGGGTGACCCAGCTGCATGGCTTTGACCCGGTCTGGCTGGTCTGGTGGTGGGCGGAGTCACGTTCATCCTGGGCTTCGCCGGCTGTGTGGGAGCGCTGCGGGAGAATATCTGCCTGCTCAAGTTTGTACGTCTGACCCGTTCTGGTTCTGACCCGCACAACATGTAGAGCTGTGGAACGGGCCAGGAGCAGAACCAGGGGTCCGATTAGGAAAAAGCAGCTTTAATTGCCGACTGTGGTTCTGACCCGGTGTGTTCCGGCCCAGTTTTCCGGGGTGATCGGGTTCATCTTCTTCCTGGAGCTGACCGTGGCGGTTCTGGCCGTGGTTTTCCAGAGCCAGGTCCGAGAGTGGCTCAACAACTTCTTCCTGCAGAACATCAAGGGCTACCGGGACGACATCGACCTGCAGAACCTCATCGACTCTTTGCAGAAGATGGTAGGACCCGCAGGTACCGCCGGTACCTGTGGCCGGCCCGGTACTGATCCGGTTCTCCCCAAACAGAACCACTGCTGCGGGGCCCAGGAACCCGACGACTGGAACCTCAAACGTCTACTTCAGCTGCAACGGGACCCATCAGAGCCGGGAGAAGTGCGGCGTCCCGTTCTCCTGCTGCGTCCCCGACCCTGCCGTGAGTCCAGTTCTGATCCGAACCCATCTGGGCCCGCCACGAGTCCGGTTCCGATCCGAATCCACTTAGTAATGCTGGTTCTGTTCTTTCAGGACTCGGTCCTGAACACCCAGTGCGGCTACGATGTGAGGAAGCAGGACGGGGTGAGTTCAGCTGTTCCTGTTGGTTCTGAGCGGTTCTATTGGTTCTGAGCGGTTCTATTGGTTCTGAGCAGTTCTATTGGTTCTGAGCGGTTCTATTGGTTCTGTTGGCCCAACAGAAAGAATGGAGTGAAAAGATCTTCATCAAAGGGTGCATCCCGGCGCTGGAGGAATGGCTTCCTCGCAACCTGTACACCGTGGCCTTCATCTTCATCGTCATCTCTCTGCTGCAGGTACCAGAACCCGACCAGAACCCATCGGGTCAGGTTCAGATGCTCTGGATCTGCCTTAAATAATCTAGTCACCTGTAGTTTACCTGCACCTCTCTCTGACAGATGGTGGGGATCTATCTGGCCCGAACCTTGATCGCCGACATTCAAAAGGTCAAATTCAGCCATTAACCCCCGCGGTGGGCGGAGCCTCGGCCCACCCGGTGGGCGGAGCCTCGGCCCTCTTGGTGGGCGGAGCCTCGGCCCGCGGTGGGCGGAGCCTCGGCCCCCTTGGTGGGCGGAGCCTCGGCCCCTTGGTGGGCGGAGCCTCGGCCCTCCCGGTGGGCGGAGCTTCGGGCCCCCGGTGGGCGGAGCCTCGGCCCTCTTGGTGGGCGGAGCCTCGGCCCTCTTGGTGGGCGGAGCCTCGGCCCCCTTGGTGGGCGGAGCCTCGGCCCTCCCGGTGGGCGGAGCCTCGGCCCTCCCGGTGGGCGGAGCCTCGGCCCTCCGGTGGGCGGAGCCTCGGCCCTCCCGGTGGGCGGAGCCTCGGTCCTCTTGGTGGGCGGAGCCTCGGCCAGGAGTTTTGCACCTGGCTGCTGAGTCGCATGTGCCTTCACTCCTTCCAGTGTGGTCTTCCCTGATGTGCTCCTTGCTATGGTTACTGAAAATGTCTGCTGAACAGCGCCACCTTGTTTTGTCTGGACCTGATGCCTTCACTTCCTGCTTCACCTGAGAGGCCTTCCAGAACCGATCACTTGCCTTTGTCACGTCTGATCACCTGAACATCATCAGTAGCAACGACAGCCACGTTACCGGTCGGTTACCAGAACCGGTCCGGTTCTGGTAACCGGTTCGGTTCCGCTCACATGACTCGCTGTTTAATGAATGTGAATGCCAACACTGGAAAAACACGTTGGTCTGAATAAAGTTGTGTTTGAATATTCTGTGGTTGATCAAGAAAAAATTGGTTGATCAGATTATTGACCCAGCGTCATTGGAGAGCTTTTATTTTGAAGGGAGTGAGTTTTGTTTTGTGTTTTTTACAAAGTGAATTTTAATCTTTTTTATATTCTGCATAATAAAAGTGACTTTTCCTCTTGTTACGTCTTTTGCTTTATTGAACCAATCGGTCCATCCAGTTCTGACCTTTAACCTTTAAACCTCAGCGGTCGGTAAACGATCATAAAATCGCCGCCAGGTGGCGGTGATGCGCTTCTTCCTCAGACTTCCTCCTCCGCTCGGCTATCCTCGGCTCCTTTCGGCTCCTCTCCAGCCACAGCAGCCAGTCGGAAACGCGCAGCAGCGTCGCGGCTCCGCGTCTCGTCTTGCTTTTCTCTCCGCCGTCCAGGCCTCCGGAGCGGCTCTCCCCTCCAGCCAGCAGCCAAGCGGCGGATCCTCGGCCTCTGTGACGGCCGGCCACGGCGCGCAGCGCGGCGGAGCCCGAACCTTTCCGGCTCTCCTCCTCCGCGGCGGAAAACCCCGGACGGAGGCCCGCGGTGTGCGCTCCTCCTCCCGCAGGCCTTCGGCCCGGACTCCCGCCTTTCTGCTGGAAAATGGACGGCTTCACCGGAAGTTTGGGTGAGTACGGGACGCACCAAGAAACTGAACCGAACCTGCTCACCTGCTCGTGCACAGGTAGGACGGTGAGGGCCGCACGCGCCTCTGGCGGGTTTACACGTGTCACTGCTGTTTGTTTCAGGAAGAGGCTGCACCGCCCCTCTGGCCGCTGCAGGGCCACAAAACCAACACCTCCACCCGCAGGAGGGTGTTCAGAGTCCAAGCCTGCCAGAACCGGGTTCTGGTGTGGTCCATCTGGGTGCAGGTAGTTCAGGTAGCAGAACCCAGCTTAACCTGGAGGAACAGAATCGTTTCTGGTCTCCAAGTCCAGCAGAATACAGGTCCAACGGGTCGAACCACCCGGTGGAAACCAAGGGCCTCAGTGGGTGCTGGAGCCCCAGGTTGGGCCACACATAGTCCCCTACTAGAAGCTGATTGGACGATCCATCAATGCAGGGTGTCACAGTCTTGCAGGTTTTAGATGAATGAAATGGCTTCATGACCATCAGTTCTCCAGAACCTCAATGACCTCATCAGTCTGTCCAGGTGGAGCAGCAGGGCAGTGACCTCCACGTCTGGAGTTTGACCCCTGTGTTTTATTGTTTTGGTTCTGATCCAATCCACTGCTCTGCTAGTCCCATTTCATCTTGTAATCACAGGATCAGTTCCCTGGGGTCTGTTCCCTCTGGAGGATTGGTTCCTTCTAGGGGTCGGTTCCTCTTGGGTTAGGGTTCCCTGATGGGTTTTATCAAAGTAACTGGGTCAGAACTGGTTTCAGTTCCAGGTCCTGTCGGATCAGAACCTGTGACCGGGTCCAGGTGTGACCTGCAGGTTGGATTCTCAGCTCCAGTCCTTAGAAGGGAAACATGCAGGGGTCAAAGGTCACAGCGTAGGAAAGACCTCCCCTCCAGATGTTCTGAAACTCGGAACCATCTAATGGGCCTGCGGTTCTGTTGTGTCGCTGCGGTTCTGAGCGGGTTCTGGTGTCTGTGCAGACGACAGCATGTCGGCGACCAGCGTGTCCGACGTCAACGACCGGCTGTCGGCGCTGGAGCTTCGCGTCCAGCAGCAGGAGGACGAGCTGACGGTGATGAAGGCCGCGCTCGCCGACGTGCTGCGCCGCCTCGCCGCGTCTGAGGATTCCGGGGCCAACAGGAAGCAGCTCGGAACCAAAGGTAAGGCGCTTCCACCCGCTGCTATGGATACACGCTGCAAGGCGTGGTCATCGGCTACGCTGCCCCCTGCAGGCGGCGCCGCCATGCGCGAAGCCTTCTCTCTGTCCTGCATCGCCAACGGCGGCACGCCCGGACGCAAGAGAGACTCCGCCTCCGTCACCAGGAAGGACACGGTGTCATCGGCCGCCAAGAGGTAAGAACCCACCGGGTCAACACCGGGCCCGGGAGAACCAGAACCAGAACCTGGGGAGCTCCAGAACCAGAGCAGAACAAGAGCAGAACCAGAACCAAACTAGAACCAGAGCAGAACCAAAACCAGAGCAGAACCAGAACCAAACTAGAACCAGAGCAGAACCAGAACCAAAGCAGAACCATAACAGAACCAGAGAAGAACCAGAACCAGAGCAGAACCAGAACCAAACTAGAACCATAACTAAACCAAAGCAGAACCCAACCAGAACCAGAGTAGATCCCATCAGAACCGAAGCGTGGCGCTGTCTCATGGTCCCGGTTCTGTTCACAGCGGTTCAGAGAAGAAGAAGGAGGTGAGCAGTCAGCGCTCCCACATGGAGGAGATCCATGAGGAAGGAAGCTCCGCCCCTAAAGGAGCCGCCACCCAATCACTCGTCCCCCGTCCCGTCTCACCCCCCCCAGAGGTCGACCCCGCCCCCTGACGGCGCCAAAGGCCACGCCCCAAAAAGGTTCCACTTCCTGATCTGTCGGCTGCGTCTGATCTTACCGACTAACCGTCTCTGAGGGCTTTCTCTGTACCTGATTGGCTGAGGATATTCTTGATCAGCCAATCAGGTTTTAGAGTGGGAGGAACTTTGAAACTGCTTTATTGCATGAGCTGCAGCAGGGCGACCTCTGACCTCTGCTCTTTTGCTTATTTCCTGGACACTTTAACCTGCTAACCAACTACAACAAGTTAATTGCAACCTGCTAACTACCTACAAACAAATAACTTAGCAGTTAACTACCCTGATAGCCGACCTATGACCTACAAACTGCTACCCGACCTCTAGAGCCCAGGTCACCAGCTCCTACCTAGCAAAGTGGGCTATTGTATCCATAGCAACAAACTCCACATACTCCTCAGACCACCTTAACCCTTTCAGACCACCTTAACCCTTTCAGACCGCCTTAAGCCTTTCAGACCGCCTTAACCCTTTCAGACCACCTTAACCTTTCAGACCACCTTAACCCTTTCAGACCGCCTTAAGCCTTTCAGACCACCTTAACCCTTCAGACCGCCTTAAGCCTTTCAGACCCTTAAGCCTTTCAGACCACCTTAAGCCTTTCAGACCACCTTAACCCTTTCAGACCACCTTAACCCTTTCAGACCGCCTTAAGCCTTTCAGACCACCTTAACCCTTTCAGACCGCCTTAAGCCTTTCAGACCACCTTAACCCTTTCAGACCACCTTAACCCTTTCAGACCACCTTAACCCTTTCAGACCACCTTAAGCCTTTCAGACCACCTTAAGCCTTTCAGACCACCTTAACCCTTTCAGACCGCCTTAAGCCTTTCAGACCGCCTTAAGCCTTTCAGACCACCTTAACCCTTTCAGACCGCCTTAAGCCTTTCAGACCACCTTAACCCTTTCAGACCACCTTAAGCCTTTCAGACCACCTTAAGCCTTTCAGACCACCTTAACCCTTTCAGACCGCCTTAACCCTTTCAGACCGCCTTAAGCCTTTCAGACCACCTTAAGCCTTTCAGACCGCCTTAAGCCTTTCAGACCGTCTTAACCCTTTCAGACCGCCTTAAGCCTTTCAGACCACCTTAACCCTTTCAGACCGCCTTAAGCCTTTCAGACCACCTTAACCCTTTCAGACCGTCTTAAGCCTTTCAGACCACCTTAAGCCTTTCAGACCACCTTAACCCTTTCAGACCACCTTAAGCCTTTCAGACCACCTTAAGCCTTTCAGACCACCTTAAGCCTTTCAGACCGTCTTAAGCCTTTCAGACCACCTTAACCCTTTCAGACCACCTTAACCTTTCAGACCACCTTAAGCCTTTCAGACCGTCTTAAGCCTTTCAGACCACCTTAACCCTTTCAGACCACCTTAACCCTTTCAGACCACCTTAAGCCTTTCAGACCACCTTAACCCTTTCAGACCGCCTTAAGCCTTTCAGACCGCCTTAAGCCTTTCAGACCACCTTAACCCTTTCAGACCGCCTTAAGCCTTTCAGACCACCTTAACCCTTTCAGACCGTCTTAAGCCTTTCAGACCACCTTAAGCCTTTCAGACCACCTTAACCCTTTCAGACCACCTTAAGCCTTTCAGACCACCTTAAGCCTTTCAGACCACCTTAAGCCTTTCAGACCGTCTTAAGCCTTTCAGACCACCTTAACCCTTTCAGACCACCTTAACCCTTTCAGACCACCTTAAGCCTTTCAGACCGTCTTAAGCCTTTCAGACCACCTTAACCCTTTCAGACCACCTTAACCCTTTCAGACCACCTTAAGCCTTTCAGACCACCTTAAGCCTTTCAGACCACCTTAAGCCTTTCAGACCACCTTAACCCTTTCAGACCACCTTAACCCTTTCAGACCGTCTTAAGCCTTTCAGACCGTCTTAAGCCTTTCAGACCACCTTAACCCTTTCAGACCACCTTAAGCCTTTCAGACCACCTTAACCCTTTCAGACCACCTTAAGCCTTTCAGACCACCTTAAGCCTTTCAGACCACCTTAAGCCTTTCAGACCGCCTTAAGCCTTTCAGACCGTCTTAACCCTTTCAGACCGTCTTAAGCCTTTCAGACCGCCTTAAGCCTTTCAGACCACCTTAAGCCTTCAGACCACCTTAAGCCTTTCAGACCACCTTAAGCCTTTCAGACCACCTTAAGCCTTTCAGACCACCTTAACCCTTTCA